AACTGATACTAAAAAAAAAAAAAAAAAAAAAAAAAAAATCAAGTAAAAATTGTATTTTGTTACCTGAGGTAGGAAGTGTTTTACAAAAGCAATATGGTAAACATGATTATTATACAGTAACATCGCTTGTATTGCTTCAAGCAAACTCAAGCTAAAGAGGCAGAAACTGCTTGAAAGGAGAGGGAAATCAATGGGAAAGCTGACAAAGAACAAAGGTGGTAAAAGCAAAGATATGCCATGGCCTTGCTCTTCCTTCTAGGAGATGCATGTCTAGAGCAGCAGCAAATGGAGCGGTCATGGATGAGTGCAGGTATTTTGGTACAGAAGAGCTAGCAGCTCTGTCACTGGATCGCCCTTTGGCATACCTGAAATACAGTGGTTGTCTGCCTGGAAAAGGCACAGAGCAAAGTAATTATCCTGAAGTATTCTTTGTTTGGCTTAATGTTCAGAGAAACACAAACCTACAAGTCCCCTCAGATCAGTTTTTAAGGAATGTTTTGTCTAAGTTTCATTTCTGTGTAAGTAAGTTTTGGGCCTACATTTGTCATGGCAAGAAAGAGATTGTAGGGCATAATCAGTGTCAGCCTCTGGCCTCATTTTTATACTCTGACTCACAGCTGTATTTTATACGTAACACAGTGTGATCTAAGGAAGGCTTGTAGTAAGTGAGAAGACGGGAGAGTAGAATTAGGCATGATAGGAATGTATGCTTTGTGAGATTGCAGTTGAATTACGTAGCAAGTCTCTTTTGCCAGGGACTCTTAAATAAATTTTTGTTTAAGAAACTAGAGCTATTTAAAAATGATACCATGTGACATGATTTTGAAAACAGCAGAAGTCACTTCCAGAGATAGCGCTACGAAATCTTGTGGTTTTGCTTCCTTTTTCTGTAAATTTTAGTTTTGTCACAGCTGAGATTATGATTGGTTTTCTTATGGCAAGCAATATGTACAAGCTTTAAATTATCCACGGTAAACAGCAGCTGATAGAAGTATTCCCAGTTCACTTCTCTTCCATCTCGTGTTTTGACAGCTTCTGCCAGTTCTGGGACAACAGCACGTTTCTTCTCTATTCTTCAGTGCACAAAAGAGAAAACAATATTGCCATCATAAGTTTTTTCATAATAATCAAGTCTCCGTCACCCTTTTAGAGCCAGGCAGAATTTGAATTCTTTCACCATAACTAGGTTTATGATTTATTTTTTTTCCTGAGGAAATTAGTTTAGCAAATCCTGTTTCCTTCACAAGTGCACAATGCCTGAAAATGGGTCTGAGGGTTTTTTGCCAGAGAGGAGTCTTCACAAAGGATAACGCGGTAAGGAGGGGTATGTTTCCATACAAAGAAAATCTGAACAGAAACAAAGCAGCTAATGAGAGACGGCATTATAATCTTTCTTTAGGATTTTGTAACCAGAAACAGCTGCAGCATCCAAGCATCTTTTATCACAACGCACTATTCATAGCGGAGCTAACTGCACAGTGCGGGGAAGGACGAGGTAAACGCTCAATGGCTACGCCTTTCCTGCCTAGGATGAAGGGCATGGAACAGGTAGGTTTGGATTAATACTTTGTACATACATGTGATCGAGATTCCAGGTACTGAAGAGGATCCTGCTTTCCCTGTTGCTGTAGGGGTTGATAGAATGCTTACATGGGCAGTCATCTCTGTCAAAAGGTCCCTGTAAAACAAGACGGCTACAATGAAAGGCGTACTGCTCATCACCCCAGCGCAGTCCTTCTGCTTGCTATAACTAACCAAAGATAGATCACACATGCTATGACATCACCCTGCCAAACTTGATACCGCACTACGCAAGCATCCAAGTAACCGTTCCTTCCTCTGACGTCATTGCAAGTCATGCCACTGCTTGCTGGAACCAAGACTCTCTGCTTTAGAAAGGCCTGAACTTACCTGACAAGAGAACCATCCCTCCGTAGTGCACAGGCGGACTGCCTCCTCCTCTCTTCTGTCAAAGTAGCATCCGTTGTATTTCACAGATTTCAGTTTATCTGCCATCAGGTCAATTATCCTTTTATATGCATCTCTCGCTGTAGGATGAACATTTGAAATAAAACTACTAACCTAGAGAGGGGGGGGAAAAAAAAAACCCCAATCATTCCTTGGTGCCTGTAGCAGCCTGAGGCTCTTTTCTACAATCAGTACGTTGCACTGTAAAAGCGTTTTATGTATATGTCGTCACAGAATGACTTTTAGTAGTAGCTTGAAAATAAGTTACTGCAACAGACTTTTACCTCTTTCATGTAGCTTCGTATTCTGCTTTCACAACTGTACCGCATGTAGCTTGATTTGTTCTTAAAACGAGACTGTAGACCTAAAGGGAGTTAGATTGTGTTGTAACTCAGTACTTCTAGTGCTGTGCTTCTGCCTAGCTGGGTATTTATCCCTTCTTTTCACAAACTCAGTACGCACAGATTTTTTTTCTTTCCCATTTTTATTTTACTGGTTCAAGACTACCCCGCTCTTAGCACTTAAAAGGACCGTGCAGAGCATCTGCTGCGAGAGCAGGAGCTGGTATTATAGTTGTTAACTGTTTCTTGTTAATGTGCATACACAGAACACTAAAAGATTGTGAAAAGAAAATGGAATTGTTCAGGAAGAACTGCAACAACGACTTGGGAATGGGAGGGGGAACTTGCAAAGAAAGTATAAAGAAAAGATAAAGAAAGGTTAGCTAGCTGATACATGCAAATTCTCAATACACTATTAGCAAATTGCTAAAAGATTGTAAACGCAGACCTACATCAATGGGGAAAAACGTATTCTAGAGCGATCTTAGAGTAAGAGGGAACGTTGCTTTTTTTACCATTTTTTGATAGTAAATATGCATGTTTTCAAAAGAAACTTAAAAACGCATGCTAATGGAAGTGATAACTAATCCCCTGCCCAGGTACCAAATCACACCAGCCAGAAGGACTCCCAATTTTTTAAACTACTTTTCTTTAAGAACAGTAAAATTGACAGAAGTGACTCTCTTGAGCAGAGTGAGACCTGGTTCCCCTCTGCAGCTCCCTGCGGGCGACAGACGTACCTTCAAACCATTTCTTGTCGTCCTCCTTGTCCTCGGCCAGGATGGTTTCGCTCAGGTTGTGGATGAGGTCCGCCAGCAGCTTCTGCCTCCTGGGGGCCCGCTCGTCGGAGAGCAGCTTCCGCGCCGCCTCGACGACGGCATCCCTCTGGTTGTAGAAGGCAGCCAGGAACCGCTCGATGTCGCTGGCACCTGCGGCTTGCGCGGGCGAGGCGGCGCCGGCT